CCCGCCCCGCCCTCCTACCCTAGTCCACGTTACTGTCTTCTTCTGCCTAGATTACTACTGTTACTTCCCAATTGGTCATCCTGCTTCCACTCTTGTTCCCCTAAAGTCTGTTCTTCCCACAGAAGTCAGTGTGTATTAAGTAAATAAGTGCATAGAGTTTTACCCTAGTGGTTCCTGTCAAACTTAGAATAAAATCCAAACTCTTTAACATATCTACAAGACTCAAGTGTCCACGCCCTACTTTTCCAGACTGATCTGTCATTCTACCTCTTTGCTTTTCTGTGCCTGCCACACTTACTCTTTTGGAGTTCCTGTAAACACCTGAGGCCCGTTCCTCCTGTCTTGAGGCCTTTGCACTTGCTTCCTCTTTGCTTAGGCCACTTGCATCACTCAATTCGGATGGCTACTTAGACATCACCTCCTGGGAGAGGTGTTACCTGGCCATCTTACCTAAAATAGCCCCTTTCTCAACTAACGCAGTAATCACTACCTGAAATTATATTGCGTATTAGTGTTTACTTGCTTATTGTCTGCATCCCCACTCTAGAATGTAAACCGATGAGGGCAGAGATTATTGTTTTCAACCATTGTTTATAAGAATGCCTGGCTTATTTTACAAAGGTCTTCAAAAGTTGTTGAACGGATGAATGCACAGGTACCAACAAGAAACTCCCAGTGTCTAGTGGAAGAAGAGAAACAAGGGAATAACCTCCCCCATTAGCACCTTAAATAAGCTCTTCTAATCTGACTGTGATTTGGAGGAGGGTACCAGACAGGCAGGGGTTACTTAATGAGAAGAGGAGCATAAAAGGGTGGAACTTGTGTGAGAGTGCTGGTCCTGGAAGGGCAAGTCCTAGAAAATGCTGTGAAAGGGCCGTCAGGTACAAAAGTCTGAGTTCATAATTTGGTCAAGGGCTGCCCTTGTTCCTGGGGGCCCAGTGTTTTAGTGTGTATGAGAAAACCTGGTGAATCATCTCACTGAGATGCCTCCGGTTCCACTTCGAGGTCCTCTGAAGCCAGGAGCCACTATGGCTATCCAATTCAGGATGGCCTCAGCCATTATTAGCCTTGGAAACCCATGTTATTCTGAGGATGCTGGTTTACACCACTAAATTCTTATACCAAGAGACAGAAATTGTAGTAGGGGTGCTGTGAACATAGACAATTCCTATGCTCATACTAACTTAATTTTTGCATAGTTATACCTAAAGTCCCTTAAAAGGTACGTGATAGTTTCAGTCTATCTGTACTGACCACCACCCATTGTGTTTATCACCCTTCTTTACTCCCACACGCAAAGCACAAATGGACAAAATCATTTGGTCAAACTAATTTTTTCTTATACCCAGGACCAGTAAATTCTCTTTTCCCCACAGTGCAAAGGCATATCCATATATCGATGCTGATTATTGATGATACTGTTGAGAAAGTTAGTGAAAAGTGGAGGGGAGTATGTATTCAGTATCGCTATGTTATTTCTGTTATTTTGCAGAAACTGAAAAGGTATCTTTGAATAGTTTTCTAATACTCGACAGCTTAGGGTAATGTTTAGGAAATGTTTAGTTTAGGGAAAAGGTTAAGTTTTCTAACAAAATATACTTTTTTCTTACAGCGCATCACATGTGATTGTCTCTTTAGTACAAGATTATCCAAACTATATGATCATAAATCTAGACAAGGTGAGTTTTATAAAATGAGTTTCATGCACTGACATTGATGTACTTTTTTAAATATTAAAATCTTATGCTGATATTTTAGTTTTTTATTTAGTCATTTGAGCAACTTAGGGGGCCTACATAGTCATGTGATCATGCTGTATTTAATCTTAGTCCATTTAAACTATAAACTAAAGGTTTTAAGTGCAGTATTTTTACCAAAAGAAAATCTTCAACCCTAAATTTAATATGTAGTGTAATCTTGTGATTATTAACTTTTTTTGGAGTTGGGATACTCTGTTTATTTGATTTTATCATTGTTTTATTTGATTTTGTAACTGCCACCTCCTGGAAAATTACATATTTATTTCTTAAAGTTAATTCAGTTTTGAGAAGTTTTCAGTAATAATCGAAGTCTCCTTGGAGAGTCCAAAAGCCATGATTGGTAATCACTGGAATTTTTATTTTATTTTATTTTTTTAATTATTTTTTTTTTTTGAAAGTTTATTTATTTTTGGGACAGAGAGAGACAGAGCATGAACCGGGGAGGGGCAGAGAGAGAGGGAGACACAGAATCGGAAACAGGCTCCAGGCTCTGAGCCATCAGCCCAGAGCCTGACGCGGGGCTCGAACTCACGGACCGCGAGATCGTGACCTGGTTGAAGTCGGACGCTTAACCGACTGCGCCACCCAGGCGCCCCTGGAATTTTTATTTTAAACACAAGATGCAGATAGTTACCTTAATGTCATAAAACATAATACTAATAGTCCATAAACAAAGAATAATATGTGGGGCTTATCAATTTTTGCCTACCTTACTATCATGGACAGTAATTTTTTCCCCATCTGTACACTGATTTACCAACAGTTAACTCAGGAAACAGTGTGATCAGTCATAATATGCATAACACAGGTGTCTTTGTTTTCAATTACTAATTCCTTTGCAGTAAGAAATGGTAAGCTTTTCTGATGGTTGGAGGCACATGTGGGCAGGAAAATTTTTTAAAGGAGGGGTTTCTACAATAATTTTTTTTTGAATTTTAAAAAGGTAGCAGAATTACACTTTTTAAAATACTTTTTTAACATATCAGAGACTTCTAAAAACACAAAGAGCAAACACTTTAAGAAGACATGTTCTTGTATTACAAGCAGAACATCTATAGTCTTAAATAAATTGATATCTTATAGGAAAAGCTACTATCACTTTTTCTGTTGTTTCTCTCCCATTCTTCACTTACTTATTTTAAGCTGGATTACTGTGCAAGCTTGAAGAATCTTGAAACCATTTCTAACAAACAAAACTACAAATTTATACAGGTATGAGAGTTTTCTTATAATTATATAATTATTATACTGTGCCTCTTTAGCCATTCAGACATTCTGTCTTTCTGCTTTGCAAACTTGTGTAATGTAGGCATGGAAAGTATGCTTCTTAAAGACCTTTTAATTTCTAGAAGTACAACATGCTACAGAGAATACCACTTTTAAATCGATACCACATATAAAGCAGCATGTGACATTGGGCACGTCGGCCGATCTATGGGTAGCTGATTGAACTTAAATGGTTTGTTATTTTTTAGGTCCTTACCAGCCTTCTTGATAAGGCCTTGCTGGGATTTAAAGAGATTGGTGTAAAGGGGAATGTTACTCAGGCCAGGCAATAGTCAAAAAGCCCACCATGTAGCCCCTGGGATAGTCTTCTCTTATGAAGGTGGATTAACTGGCTCTGGAAGGCTGATTCTTACTGGCCACCCTTAGACGAGTCCAAAGTATAAACCAGAGAGTCAGGTCATTGACTTGCAAAGGGAAATTTTAATGTCAGATGAAACTATTTAACTCATGATTTGTGTGTGTGTGGGAGGGGGGGTTGTTTTTTTTTTTTTTTTTTTTTTTTTTAGAGATATTCTATAAATTCTTTTAAAAAATTTTTATTTAAACATTTTTGGGGGGACACCTGGGTGGCTCAGTTGGTTAATCATCTGACTTCGGTTCAGGTCATGATCTCAAGGTTTGTGAGTTCAAGTCCCGTGTCAGGCTCTGCTGACAGCTTGGAGCCTGGAGCCTGCTTCAGATTCTGTGTCTCCCTTTCTCTCTGCCCCTCCCCCACTTACACTCTGTCTCTCTCTCTCTCAAAAGTAAATTAAAAAAAAAGTTTAAAAATTAAAAAAATTTTTTCTTCATTTTTATTTATTTGAGAGAGAGAGAGAGAAAGAACATGTGTGAGCAGGGGAGAGGGGAAGGGGGGGTAGAGAGAATCCTAAGCAGAATCCATGCTCAGTGTGGAGCCCAGGGCAGGGCTCGAACCTGTGACCCTAGGACTATGACCTGAGCCAAAATCAAAAGTTGGATGCTCAACCAACTGAGCCACCCAGGCGCCCCTACAAAGTCTGTTTTAACCACAAATCGTAAAGAATATACTGAGCAAACATTTTATAATTCTTTTCTTCTATATGAAAGTATTTCAGTCATTAAAGAATTGTTGAGAATATGTATTTTTAGAAGAATTAAATATACACACAACATCAAAAGTACTCATAATGAGGCACCTGGGTGGCTCAGTTGGTGAAGCGTCCGACTCTTGGTTTCAGCTCAGGTCATGATCTCATTTTTGTGAGTTTGAACCCTGGGTCGGGCTCTTCACTGACAGCTCAGAGCCTGGAGACTGCTTGAGATTCTCTGTCTCCCTCTCTCTCTGCCCCTCCCCCACTCACTCTGTCTCTGTCTCTCTCAAAATAAATAAATAAACTTAAAAAAAATATTCACAGTTCACTTAGTTGTGGTAAAATACATTTTTCAAAATGTCATCTGGTTGTCATACTTTAAACATATTTCAATAATGGTTACCTCAAACTTAAAAAAAATATGTTTAAAAAGTTTCCTGTTGGGCGCCTGGGTGGCGCAGTCGGTTAAGCATCTGACTTCAGCCAGGTCACGATCTGGCAGTCCGTGAGTTCGAGCCCCGCGTCAGGCTCTGGGCTGACGGCTCGGAGCCTGGAGCCTGTTTCCGATTCTGTGTCTCCCTCTCTCTCTGCCCCTCCCCCGTTCATGCTCTGTCTCTCTCTGTCCCAAAAATAAATAAAAACGTTGAAAAAAAAAATTTAAGAAGTTTCCTGTTAACATAATGACCTGAGGTTGGCAGGAATGTTATGGGAAAAAGCCAGCACAGTTTTTAGTAGTAGTTGGTGCTCAATAAAATATTGTTTTAGAAACTTATTTACAAGAAAGCATCTTGAACTGAATATCTTATATCCTAGGATGCTGGAGAAATACATCATTACTATACTTACTTGAGCCTTTGGTTGAATTTTCAAGATATTCTCTATTCTCTCTATTCTCTATTTTCTTATCATTGTTTTGGTTCATGTAGTAAAATGGTTACTACGAATGACAGTGCTCAATGAAACTTAGTTTTTTCATGTTTGCTTTTTATATAGGGTGACATATGTAATTCTCACTTTGTGAAACTGCTTTTTGAAACAGAGAAAATAGATATAGTGCTACATTTTGCTGCGCAAACACATGTAGGTAAGCATTGTTTTATGTTACAATTATGATGGGAAGATTTTTTTCCCAGTGACTAGTCCAAATCAAAGTCCACCATTGAGGTTGAATAAGTAGGTTCTTAATATATATGTCTTTGAAAGAGCACATACCATGCTCCCCCAGGAGAATAGGACAATTTTAATAATGTAGGTTGAAGTATAACCTTGAATGCTATCTTAAAACTTTGAGTTTAACCAAATTCAATATAGTGATTACTTCTGGGGAGATGGGACTTCAACTGCATTTTTTATGTCGTTTCTTAAAAGCTGGGTGGTAGGTACACGGTTGAACATATTATCATTATCTATACTGTTATGTGCATCTGAGATCTCTTCTAATTGTCTAACATCTCATAATTTGAAACATACCATACATTCAGAAGAAGTTAGAAGTAAAGTGAAATGAATAATGATAACGTGAATACCCATGTAGCCATCACCTAAACAAAAGATAAAGTGTTGCTAAATTCTCATTAGTAGTAGTACTCTGTCTTATTACCTGATTTTAAAATTATCATTTCCCTTGGTTTTCTCTACAGTATACCTAGGAGATTATTCTAAACAGGATATAGAGATATTCCTCATTCCTTTTTATTTTCATACACTCCATCACATATATGTACCCCAGTTGGGTTTATTTCCTACACATTGCTATTTAAATGGCACTGCAATGGATGGCTTTGTGCCTGTGTCCTTGTGTAGTGTCCTTTTGTATGTTTGTCAATTGATGTTGGGTAGAGATTCCTAGAAGTAAGAATTGAGAGTGGATTAGTTTGCTAGGGCCCCCATGACACAATACCACAGGCTGGGGGGCTTGAACATCAGAATTCTATTCCTCACAGTTCTGGAGGCTGAAGTCCAAGGTTAAGGTGCCAGCAGGGTTGGTTTTTTCTCAGGCTTCTGTCCTTGGCTTGCGGATGGCCACATTCTCACTGTGTCCTCACCTGGTTTTCCCTAGTGTTTTTTTGTGTGTCAGAATTTCTTCTTTTAAGGACACCAGTCATGTTGGACTAGGGCTTACCTGAATGGTGTTGTGTTTAATTACCTCTTTAAAGGCCCTGTCTCCAAATATAGTCACACCATGAGGTACTTGAGGTTAGGGCTCCAACATGAATTTGGGGGGAACACAGTTGAGCCTACTAACCAGGATTGAGGGGGTAAAATCATATGTAGTTTGCCTAGATATTGGGAAGTTTCCTTCCTTAGGGGTTGAAAACACTTTGCATTCTTATTCCTAATGCATGAAGTATCTTTCCCCTATAGCTTCACCAACAGAAGTTATTGTCAAACTTAAATTTTTGCCAATCTGGTAGGTAAGAAGTGGTATCTATCAGTTTTCATTTTGGATTTTCATTATTATAATTGAGGGTGAGCATCTTAAGCTTAACGACCTCTGTATTTCTTATCTAAACTATTTGTTCATGTCTCCTATCCATTTAAAATAGGGTTATTCCTTTTTATTTTCTTATAACTTCTTTATAAATTGAATATACTAGCCCTTTGTTTCTGAAAAGTTTAAGTATTTTCCCCAGCTTGTCATTTATTTGTATTTTTACTTTATAGATTTCTGGTTGTTTTTTTCTGTGTAAGAGCTTTTATGTAGTCACAGTTAGCAGTTTTTTTTCCTTTTACGTCTGGATTGTGAGCCATATTTAGTAAAGTTCCCCTCATTCCCAGGTTATAGAGAATCTATTCTTCAAAGTAAATTTATTTTCAAAAATAATTTATCTAGCATTTATTGTTCTTTCAGCAATAGCAGGTTGATCTGAAAAGCCTAGCCCTCTATTAGTAGAAACTAGATGTTTCAAGTTTCAAATTTAAGAACAATTTTAAATTTAGATGTCTTTTTTTTTTTTTTTTTTTTTTTTTTTTTTTTTTAGAATAGAAGTGTTTCCTGGGGCACCTGGGTGGCTCAGTCGGTTAAGCTTTCTGCTTGCTTTCAGCTCAGGTCATGATCTCATGGTTTGTGAGATCGAGCCCCACATCAGACTCTGTGCTGACAGTGCTGACCTGCTTGGGATTCTCTCTCCCTCTCTCTCTCTTCCTCCCCCACACATTCTCTCATGCGAGTGCGCATGTGCACGCTCTTGAGAAAGACAGAATAAACAAACGTAAGAAGTAATAGAATGAAACAGTGTTTCCTGCAAATTTAGCACTGATAGTTTTCTAGGTTCTAAGAATTCACATGTACTTTATAATTTCGGCTTAAAGCAATAATAAGTAGCAATGTGTTTTTGTTATTTTTTAAACTATTACAGTTGTAGTGAATGAGGAGAAGGGAGTAGAACTTTCCTTATACCTGAGTCTACTGTTTGGTGTTTGTTTTGTCCCCTGGGTGGCATTGTTCTAGCTTTCTCTCTCTCTCTTTTTTAGATCTTTCATTTGTACGTGCCTTTGAGTTTACATATGTTAATGTCTATGGCACTCATGTTTTGGTAAGTGCTGCTCATGAAGCCAGAGTGGAGAAATTTATTTACGTTAGCACAGATGAAGTGTATGGAGGCAGTCTTGATAAGGTAAGCTTAGAAAAGTATATGTTTCACCCACTTCCCATGAACCATGAAACAAATGTGTCTTATTAAAACTTACTCTGGGGGCGCCTGGCCGGCCGAGTCTGTGAAGTGTGCGACTCCTGATTTTGAGGTGGTGAGTTTGAGCCCTGTGTTGGGTGAAACAATTACTTAAAAATAAAATTAAATTAAAATTAAAAATTAAAATAAAAGAAGTAAGACCTACCCTGGGCTTTTTCATCCTCTCATCATGCACACTTATAGGACTCTCCAAACTAGCAGTTCTTTGTGTCCTCTCTTCAAATCAAATAATACCAGCCCAGGGGCGCCTGGGTGGCGCAGTCGGTTAAGCGTCCGACTTCAGCCAGGTCACGATCTCGCGGTCCGTGAGTTCGAGCCCCGCGTCGGGCTCTGGGCTGATGGCTCAGAGCCTGGAGCCTGTTTCCGATTCTGTGTCTCCCTCTCTCTCTGCCCCTCCCCCATTCATGCTCTGTCTCTCTCTGTCCCAAAAATAAATAAACGTTGAAAAAAAATTTTTTTTTTTAAAAAAAAATAAAAAAAAAAAACAAATAATACCAGCCCAAATGGCAACAACCATCTAGTCTCGGTACATATTTATATGTAATTTGACTGACAGTATTTTTACCAGAGAACAGCACGTCCCGCCTTTCTGTCCCAGTCCAAACGTGATGAATGTCATTCCCACGGGCCAAGCAGAGCATACCGCCCACTCCCCTTCTCTTCCATTCAGGATAGCGCATCGGAACATCAAGGGGTGCATGTGAAATTATTGCAGCAGCTGGAATCTGTTCTCCTTTTTAAATCACTTGTACATATTATGCTTCCTATGCAAAAGATGGCTCCATTCTCATCTATATTTTTCACAGTCAGTGTTTGCAGTGACCTCATTCTGTGTTACGTTTTTATGAAAACACATAAGTGAAAAAAAAAAATCAAGCGGTTTGAAAAAAAACTTGTAATAAAAAAGCAGACCCTGACCACTTCTCTTCAATATCCAGTCCCACCCATGAGAAGCATTTTCAATTCTCTTTGCAATCTTTATGAAGGAACCCTTTTTTCTTCTTGTGCCGTTATCCTACATCAGGTCTGACACAGGAGCCAGAACAATTTTTAGAATATAAGTCAGATGATGGGATTACTCTGCTCAAAACCTGTTCACGTTGTTTCAGTGACCTTCAGGGTTCCACAGGTTCTGGCCTCCCTCTAGCTCTCTGGCCTCAACTCCCATTTCTCTTCCCTCACACTAACCTCCTTGTGGTACCTTTGGACGCACTCTGTCTCAGGGCCTTTGCACTTGTTGTTCTCTCTGCCTGCCTTATAGGGTTACTGTGAATGCTACCATATAAAAAACGCTTAGGAAAAATGCCAGGCAAGTAGTTGGGGTCCAGTAAATGTTTTTTAAAATGTAGTAATTAATATTTAAGGTTTGTGATATGTTTTCTGATTTTTCTACTTAGAAACTATGCATAATACATATTTATTAAATGCATCTTTTTAAAATTAGGAATTTGACGAATCTTCACCCAAACAACCTACAAATCCATATGCATCATCTAAAGCAGCTGCTGAGTGTTTTGTACAGTCTTACTGGGAACGATATAAAGTAAGAACTGATTTCAGAAACTCTTGAATAATTTTTCTTTGGACTTAGGTGTTAAAACTCCAAGTTAGATTAGCAACATTCCATTTTTAGAGTTAAAGACCTAGATTGAGCAGTTTATATACTAAGGAGTTTAAAATACTTATTTCCTATATTGTGTGGACAAAGTAGGACCTACTTCTTGTTCAGTTCATCATTTAAAGGAATAATTTGTGGGTGGCTCAGTCAGTTAAACATCTAACTCTTGGTTTCAGCTCAGGTCATGATCTCACGGTCATGGGATCGAGCCCTGTGTTCGGCTACCTGCTGAGTGTGGAGCCTGCTTGGGATTCTCTCTTCTCTCTCTCCCTCTGCCCCTCTCCTGCACTCTCTCTCTAGAATAAACAAAAATTAAAAAAATAATAAAGCAATAATTTGTATACATTTTTTCCTACTTCAGTGATACATAGAGAATTAGAGCTGTAGGGAAAACCTGGTTGGAATATCCTGATTCCCAGAATCCTCCGGGTGAAAGAAGACAGAGGGAGGGCAGGTTCCATGACCTACCGCATGCTCCTCTCTGCATGATTCACCTCTCTTGGCTCCTCGCGAATGGGAGTTGACATTCCCTTGCCTTTTGTGTTCCATAACTTTGGCCCTTTTCCCATTTGTGGTAGCTCCTTTTATTTGTAAGGGTTGGTGCCTCAGAGAAAGACAACTTGCAGTTTCACATCCTAACCAAACCTGAGGTCCAAGATAGAGTCTCTGAAATCATCAGGTAGACATTTCTGTAATTTTTCTGCTGTCAAACCTAACAAACCTGGCCCTATCTCTCTTCATCCTGCACTTGTCCAAGTAGATATTCCTCTTCTTCCTTTTGGGAACCTCTGCCTTTCTCTGACTCCCATCCTCTCCTGTCTTTTCAAGAACCTTACATTAGAAAACTGTCCCTTCACTTCTGTCCTTAAGATGTGTGGGGTTACTTAGCTGCAAGTGCCCAAATTTTAGAACTGTTTGTCTTTAGATAATTATTACAGTTGGACCTCTTATTGCATTAATGTCTACAACTCTTTAAGTTTCCAGCTGTCATCACACGAAGCAGTAATGTTTACGGACCACATCAATATCCAGAAAAGGTACATTTTATTCCTGAATCCATAGTGTGCTTTAGTGATCGTAGCTTCTCATCATTTAAAATAATCTCTCTTCAGTATTTGTCCAGAATAATTTCTGCTGTAATTGTACATAATTATAAATGCTGTATAGGCCAAAGGCAAATCTCATCAGGTTTAGAGTCTGGAGACCTGAGTTCAAGTCTCAACCTGACAGCAGCTGGTGTGACCTTAGGCCCTTGGAGCGTGGTTTTTAAATTGAGGGATAATGAAAATGCTCAGTAGGGACTTTGAAGGATCCAGAGAGATGATCTTCTGAAAATGCCTTGTACTTGGCAGGATTCGGAAGCACCATAGAGTACTACCATTGCTCCTGTCCTGGCTGCTGAAGACTCCTTCCTGGTTTGCAGTCTAGAAATTTCAGAGCTAGTCAGAGCATGATGCGGGAAGCTGGTACAGAAATTTGTCTCTCCATCAGCTGGCTAATCGTTCCCCAGATCCTCTTTATTGTTGGCTGGCCTGAACGTCTTCCAGAAAGTAGTACAAGTACTGAATAAAGAAATGTCGTTAAGAGGCTGAAGACACCAGTGCAGTTGGTTCTGTATCATTAAGCCCAATTTTAAGTAACCATTGCTTTCTTCTGCTTAAATTTGGAGATAGGGTTTTCCACTTTCCAGCTGGTTGCATTAATCTCTTAGCCCAAAGAAAGGGGCCGGCCGTGTCATGATCTGCTGGTCTTAATATCTACTTTGCTTAATTTGGGGAGTATCTTTCAGAGGTGCATTGTTAATTTAATAATATAGCTCGCCCCATTTAACATAAATTTTCTTTGAATTCAGTGTCACTGGGATTTACTTTTTATTAATTTAACAAGCACTGAGTGTAGGTGCTGTATGCAAAGCAATGAGTAAGATCAGATTCCTGCCCTTAATGAAATCCGAGGTGAACTTTTGTGATGACAGCGAACTGTTCATGAAGACTTCTGAATTTTTACACTATGTGTCATTTTGTCTTTATATTCGTCTAGCAGATAACTTATCTTTGTGCAATAGGAAGCTATCTTAGAGTTCTTTCACTTGTCAATATTATCATAGGTTTCTTCTTGAACTGGTAAGAAAAATCAGAATTTATCCCTATGTATAACTCTTAATAATCATCTTTTAATCATATGATGAGTTAGATTCATATGGATCAATGAATTTCCAATGTCTGAAACAATATTTAAATATTCTTTTAGGTTATTCCAAAATTTATATCTTTACTACAACACAACAGGAAATGGTATGTTATCATTTACCTTTGTACCCATATGTTTTTCTGGTACATGGATAGTATTCAGTGACAGCCAGTCTTGAAAATCACAAAGTCTTAAGAGTTGAAGGCCGTAGGATTGAATGTTTCAACAAATTTACAAATTCCTTCTACAATCGATGTGACAGATTTTTAAATAATTACCATCTGTTATCCATCTTTGTAATTTACTTACTAACATCATTGCAACCTTTTTTTTTTATAACTTCAGTTCTTAAATAATGTATCCTAGAACTTTGAATTTTAGCATTAAAATTTGACATCTATCTTTATATAATTTTACTTTTTCAGAGGAATTATTTAATTCACAGAGCTATATGGATTTCTTCAAAATTAATTTAAGGTAGAAAATTGATGAATAACTTATTTCTCAGGGGTCATTTAGATGCTTGCCACTTTCCTGCTGAGTGCTGAAGGAGGTTTGGAGATCATTTACAAATTATGATAAAATTTAGAAAAGTCTTGAGACTTTGTGTTTTCAGTAAAAGATTTCTAGGATCTCATGGCAATTGGCTGCTCTAGAATGTACACAGTCATTGTGGTACCTTGGTTTGGGAGAGCTTACATTTTTATACGTTGTGATTCCCTTTCATTTCATCTTTTTAGCTGCATTCATGGATCAGGGCTTCAAACGAGAAATTTCCTTTATGCTACCGATGTAGTAGAAGCATTTCTCACTGTCCTCAAGAAGGGGAAACCAGGTGAAATTTATAACATCGGAACCAATTTTGAAATGTCAGTTCTCCAGCTTGCCAAAGAACTAATACAACTGGTATGTATATATTGCAGAAAGGTCGTGTTTTCAAAATTGTCACTAAATTAGTGGTAGTAATCACTAAGGTAGTCAAAATCAACAGTTTACAGTTTACTCAGTTGGAAAGTAAACGTGTAAAAAAAATGAAATGTACGTGAAGATATGTCATTATTTGAAATTACATCACTCGTTTATAACAGCTTTTCAGGAAAATAAAAATCCTAACACATTAAATGTAGATACTCATTATAACAAATATCTCAATATCAGCAATATAAACTTGTATGTGCTAGTCTTAAGAATCAGTGATATATAAATAATTGTAGCTATGAGTGTAGGTACGTATTAATGCACATCAATATAGATCTCAAGGATTCAGTGTATAGAAACTCTTCCTTTATACCACTCTCAGAATACTCTGGACTCCAACCATGTGGGCCTTCCACACCAAGCAGTGCTCAGACACAAGCTGGGTAGCCTATAATTGAACTCAGTTCTGACATTATCTGCCTGGAAATTGCTTCAGATGCCATAGGTTAAGTAAGGGCTCAGTCTACAAGACTATCCCCTGCTTCAGATGCCAGTCACAAAACCTGGTTGTCGCCTGTGCTTCTGACCAACTGGCTATAAATCAGAGGTACTTTGCTAGAGTGACTCACAGAGTTCAGGAAAACAGTTTACTTTCTAGATGGCTGGCTTCTCACACTGGGTGTGACTCCGGAATAGTCAGATGGAGGAGCAGTCTGGGGCCAAGGAGGAAGAAAGATTGTGGATTGACCATGTTCTCTGGGCATACCACCCTCCCAGCACCTCCATGTTTTCAGCAGCCCACGTGTTCTCCAAACCCCATCCTTTAGGTTTTTTATGGAGGCTTCATTAAGTGGGCATGATTGGTGAAATCATTGACCACTGGAGAGTAACTCAATCTCCAGCAATCTGAACATGTGGTTGGTTCTGTTGGCAACCAGCCCCCTCCATAGGGGCTTTCCAAAATTCACTCATTAACATAAACTCTGTGCTTAAAAGGGGCTTGTTATGAACAGCAAAAGACATCTTTATCTCTCATCACTTAGGAAATTCCAAGGGTTTTAGGAACAGGGATAAAAACCAAATATATATTTCTTACTATAAACCACAGTATCACACTGAGTAATAACCAAAAGTCAAAAAAGTTAATTTTTTCCCATAGTTTATGCAATGTGTATTTTTGCTGAGCTTCAGATGGAATTTGGGTTATAAAATATAGGAAGTGTACTAAAATGCTGTTCATTTTAGCTGTCTCCCCCCCTTTGAAGCGGTTGTTCTTCTAGTCTTTTAAATCAGCTATGTAATACTTTTGTTATTCTCTGGTCTTATTTTGTAATTCGACACAATCCATTTTCACAGATCAAAGAGACCAATTCAGAGTCTGAAATGGAAAACTGGGTGGATTATGTTAATGATAGGTGAGTAATAAGCTAAAACATTGGGGAAAAGTTGTGAAATCTTAGATACTTATAAAATTCTAAGATATGTTCACTTAATCAGAAACTACCATTATCTCTCTTTAATTTTCTGCTATAAGAACATAGGAGCCCTAATAAGTTTATGTGTATTTATTTATTCATTCATCAAACATATAGGTATGGGCTGCATTCAAACCCAGATCGTGGCTGAAATCAGAAAAGCATAAGCCACAAAGAGGGTTCGGCATCTGGGATTATAGATGATTTTTTTTTTAACATGTACTTTATTTTACAAATTTTCTATAATAAATTCAGGGAGAATTTTTTTAAGGAAAAATGTGAACTATGGTAAAGATTCATGGACACACATTATTTACATTTGTAAATATATATCCACAATGTCATTTTAAATCTGTTTTGTTTTCTAAGACCTACCAATGACATGAGATATCCAATGAAGTCAGAAAAAATACATGGTTTAGGATGGAGACCCAAAGTGCCTTGGAAAGAAGGAATAAAAAAGACAAGTACGTTATGAATTGATCCTTTTGGGGGAGATTCAGAAAAATTTAAAGGAAAAGTAATTTATTTTTAGAACACTCTAATTTCAGTAGAATGTTATGATGAATCCTTTCCACTTTTCAAAGTGTTACATTTAGTATGTTTCCAGCCATAGTAATCTATTTCCTAAGCATCTTGAATTTCACAGACTGACTTCTGATGAGTCTTCCTGTGTCTCATCAGTGTTTGTCAGAAACCTATTTCATTGATTCTCAGGTGCAAATTTGTCACTTTTTTCACATCCTTTAAAGGTATGTGGTTTAAAGTCACAAATGTCTTATTATTATTGCATCTTCCTTTCTTTCTTTCTTTCTTTCTTTCTTTCTTTCTTTCTTTCTTTCTTTCTCTCTCTCTCTCTCTCTCTCTCTTTCTTTCTTTCTTTCTTTCTTTCTTTCTTTCTTTTCTTGGTAACATGTAAAATAACGTTTACAGGTCCATTTTAACCTCAGTGGCATCTTAGATTTGATGACATCTGGACAGTTGCGGTCTTTGAGTGTCTGAAGCCTTTTTTACATTGAAACAAACAAAATTTAGTTGTGTGAAGAAATGTCCATTAAAATAAGTGTATAGAATCTGTGTATATATATGTTAAAGTTCGGTTTAAAAATGTATTCATGAGAAAAGATAAACTCACATGTAGAGAAAAAGTCTTCATTCAGAGCTTGACATACAGAATACTTGTGTTGAATTTTTGAAAGCAAATTCAAAGATAATTTATCATTTTTTAACTAAGAAAAACTTTCCTGATAATATAACAATATAAAATGACTTTACATATTAACAGAAGAAAAATCACACCTTCTCATTGTGCCTGGAATGCTGTATTGCTACATTCACTTGAACAAAAAATTACTTGTCCTATAGCTTTAAAACCAGTGCAAATGACGTATCTCTCCTTCTCCCTCAATTTCTTAAAGTCAGAATTTCTTCAACACTTATACCAGCACATTCAGTATTGAATGGCTTTTGAAATTAAAAACAAACAAACAAACAAACGATAACTGTCTTTTAAATCTAAGTTTTCGGGTACTGAAACATCTTGTGATTAATGACCCTGGTTGGTTCAAAATCAAGCTGTTTTCATTAGGCATCCCTTTGGCAAGACTGATTCTTACTTAAATTAAGAATCTGAGTACAGTTAGCTGAGTGGCTGATGGGTAAGATTTTTCTGACTTAGCGGGAACTCAGTAAATGCTGATTAACTGGTGTTTTGTGTTTTGTTTTTTATTTTTGTCCTTTGGTTTTTTTCCTCTCAGTTGACTGGTACAGAGAGAATTTTCACAACTGGAAGAATGCAGAAAAGGCATTGGAACCCTTTCCAGTACAACCACCGTTTGTATAGTCAAGACAGTTTTCAGAGAAAGAAGAAAATTATCCTACCTCCACAAGCCATGGGAAACCAAGTGACCAAAAGGTGTCCTCTTTTCTTTTGGAATTAGATTCATGACTTTTTGCATAAAATTCAAATGCAAAACACCTCAATCTTTAGAATAGGTTTGGTGCTGGCATAGGATTTAAATTTCAAGATTCTTTCCAAAAACCTTTCTCCTGAAAGTTAGGCACCAGAAGTCCTAGAAAGACCTTTCGTAGGAAGGGGCCAGGAAAATGGAATCTCATGGTTCTGAGAACAAGGACCGAGCCCAGTTCTGCGCTGACGACAGCCTTCGCGGGCCCTGAACTCAGTTGCCCAACCTTCCCCACTGCCTACAAAGTCTCTCAAGTTTCCATTTTTAGGCAACATAGGATGAGCTGTCTGTCCTCATTCATCTTTTTTATTAAAGGTCTGATATGCTATAATTGCTTTAAAAGTGGAACAATGGAAGCATATCTAGCACTTTTTAACTTTAGATAATTTTGTAAAATTAAGTTAAATGTTTTTTAAAAGAAGGATGTAGTTTTTACATTTTCAAAATCAGTTGTTGGACTATATATGAGTAATCTCATAGGAGAGATTTTTATCATGTATTTGCCATTTAAAATGATTTTATTTATAAAAGTATCACTATTGTAACATATTTAATGTAGAACGTGGCTGTATTTTTACTAAGGTATGTTTTTATTTTGCTGTAGAAAAAATTTTTAAATATCTTGATTAAATACTTTTAATTCCTCTCTCTCCTAAAGACTTTAAGATGGCTTGAAAAAGCAGCTGACTGGATATTGCATTGAGAAAGGGTGAGGAGTTCAAGGTTGTGCCCAGCTTTCTGGCTTCCGTGCATGTGTGATGACTTCTTTCCTCCGTGAGGTGGAAAGCTAGGTCATTCACTCACAGGTGGTTAAAAGTAATAGGGGTAAGGGTGGAGTAAGGGCCTCGAAGAGGTGGAGATCGGGAAAAGAATAAGCAGCTCCAAAGTTGGAAGAGGATTTGCCAAGCAGGAGTGAAACACAAACTGACGTTGAATACAGTCATTTCAGGATTCTGAGATGTGGGGGCACCTGGGTGGCTCAGTCAGTTAAGCATCAGACTCTTGATTTCGGTCAGATCGTGATCTCACAGTTTGTGAGTTCAAGCCCCGAGTTGGGCTCTGTGCTTAGTGTGGAACCTGCTTGGGAGTCTCTCTCTCCCTCTCTCTTTGTCCCTCCCCTGCTTGTGGTCTCTCTCTTTCTCAAAATAAATAAACATTAAAAAAAAAAATAATTTTGAGATGTGCAAAGTGGATTGATCCAGAGGTAGGCATAGTAGGAGTCGGGAGGGGCCGAGGGGCAGAGGACTAAGAATAAGCAAAGAGTGAGGCCCCCTAGTCCCGATTGTTTAGGGAAGAAAATTCCTCCTGGGGGTTGGCTGTAGCTAGAGGAAATGGAGAGGGGACCAGGCACGGAGGTGTGGCAGTGAGAGGTTGCGGAGGCTGGGAAGTTACAGGCAGAAAATGGGACCAACTGAGAGCAGATGGTCTTTTGGTAGAGTCTGGTCATTGAGAGTAGATGACAAAAACACTGTTTTCTGTGGCATTTAGTTTTGTACATATTTTTGTGTGCCTTTATTCCCAACTTTAATATACTCAATATGGCTTAACTTTATCATTTATTTAGTCTCAGGAGATGACTGGACAGGCATTAAGAACATATAATGAAAAACCAGTGGAAACAAATTTATGCAAAAGTGTTAAAAAAAATGAACGTTCTACGTCATATGTCATCAGAGAAGCACAGATTAAAACAAAAACTAGATACCTATTAGAATGACCAAATCTGGAACACTGACAGCAACAAATACCGACAAGGGTGCGGAGCAACAGGAACTCTCCTACACCTGCTGTTGGGAATGCAAAATGGTACAGCCACGTTGGAAGACAGTTTGGCAGTTTTCTTACAAAAGTAAACATACCTTTACCACATGATCCAGCATTCACACTCCTTGGTATTTACGCCAAGGAATTGAAACTATGTCCACACAAAAACCTGCACACAGATGTTTCTAGTAACATTATTCATAGTTGTCGAGACTTGGAAGCAACCAAGATGTCCAATAGGTGAACGGATAAATAAACTGGTGCATCCAAACTGCATGAGCTGTCCAGCCATAGAAAGGACATGGAGAAAGCTTACATGCACATTACCAAATGTAGGAAGCCAATCTGAAAGGAGCGTGCGGGAAACATGCTGAGACAAAGTAACGCCTGTAACGATAAAAGAGGAAGCAAGACTGGGCAGGATAATGGTGCTGGCTCGGGCTCTGCAGGCAGAAAGGGCAAATCCATATGGAAAACGTTATCTCTTGTGAGAATAAACCACTGGCCCTTTCAGGATGAAAAGGGCTCCAATGGAATCAACTTGCCACCAAGTACCTGATGGGTTTCTTCAAGGGATCGTGCCATATTGGGGCTCAGCCTTTGTCTGTTGCCAGCAGGATGGATGTGCAGAAGTGGCAGTGGCTAGATTGGCCTTGGTAAGTGAGAATCTGTGCTGGGGGCCCCACGAGTAGGTTCCGTCTCTACAACTATGGTGACTGCATTCAGACGCCCACTGTGGCAGTTCTGGGGTAGTTGATGGTGAAGCCTAGCCAAAGTTAACTGACCACCTCATCTTGTCTACCAAATGGTTCAGTGACTCTTCCATGGTGGTTGTTTTCTGGTGGGCATTAACATGGGATAAACAGATCTTCATACTCCCCAACCACCCCCATGTGGCCATTCACACGCCTCCAAACCTGTCTTATCTCTGCATCTCTAGTCTTTTTCCTTCCAAGTCCCTGAAGTGGCTTAACCAGGCCATTCACCACTGTCTATGAGTTCATACATTTCTCAGTTCAGGTCACTTCTCTACAGAGTGAATAACCAGGTATGCTGCTCAAAGCTCTGCCCTTTCATGGATCTCTCCTTTGCACATTCTTTTAAAGCCACCCCTATGTGGCTTTAATGCAGCCACCATCCATCCACGTTTGGTTTGTATACACATGACAAGCCAACCCATCTATAAGCTAAGCTTAGGGTTTTCTTTTTTCTTCCCCTTTTCAGTTGGTTGTACAGAACCCTCCACAAGGCCACAGGTGTAAGCTGAGAGAGGTATAACCAAGCTGGTGACATGGGACTCTAGCCTAAATGCTCTTGCAGCTCGGTCCTGATGGGCCATTTTCATCTTACCATGGACTGCTGCAGGGGCCACCTGACTTTATGGCTAGTTGGGTGTGTCAGTTTCCTAGAGCCTCCATAACAAAATACCACAGACTGGGTGGCTGAAACAAGAGAAATTTATTTTCTCCTAGCTCTGGAGGCTGGATGTCTGACATCAAGTTGTTGGCAGGCTTGGTTTCTTCTGGAGCCTCTCTCCTTGGCTTATTGATGGCGACCTTCTCTCTGTCTTCACGTGGTCATCTCTCTGTGCATGCTCATGTCTGTGTCTAAATTCACACTTCTTACAGGGACATTGCTCACATTGGATTACCGCCCCCACCCCCAAGACCTCATTTTAATTTAATTCTCTCTTCGAAACCCTTATTTCCAAATGCAGTCACATTCTGAGGTATTAGAGGTTGGGACTTCAACATATGAATTTGGGGAGGGAGGCTCAATTCAGCTCACAATAGTGAGTCCAATAGAACCTGGCACATTATGGACAGTCCTGAAATGTGGTCGCTTGATGTCCTCTAGTCAAGCATTCTGTCTCTTCCAGGGCCCAGTAAACTGCCAGGAGCTGTTTTCTAAAACCCTAAAATTCTCAGGGCACCTGGGTGGCTCCATTGGTAAAGTGTATGACTCTTGATATTGGCTCAGGTCATGATCTCATGGTTCACGGGATCAAGCCCCGCATCAGGCTCTGTGCTGATAGCACAAAGCCTGCTTGGGATTCTCTCTCTCTCTCTCTCTCTCT